GGAAAGGGAAGGGGGAGCATTTTATGTGTGCACGCAACACAAATGGGGCGGCACTAGTGCCCACGTGACATTCACTAGCCCCACCCCGTTTTCGCTGTGTGGTGCCGTGTTTTCACCGCAACTACAGCGCTAGCGCAAGTGGGGGTGAGTACATGCACACACATGCATGCACTGGCCAGCCTGTCGGACACTGCCTCCTTCTCCTCCTCCTCCTCCTCCTCCTCCTCACATGCTCAGAGTTAACCTGGGCTTGATATGCTGGGACAGAACACCACTGTTCTGTTCAACAGAACGCTCTGTTGTTGGGAGAGCGAGGAGAGGGGGGGTCACATTGTTCCCCTCCAAACCCACCCAGGGCAGGGGTGCCCAGCCTGCGGACGTCAAGTTGAAGTCCAAGTTGCCAAGTTGGGCTCCCCTGGTCTAGGACACAGGAGTGGGGTGAGCTAATGGGGGCACTGCGGATCCAAATGGAAAGGCCGAGTGCTGCACGCAGCATGGCAGAGCTGGGACCATGCCCAGATGGTAGGCAAGAAACTGGCGCCTCCCCTCCCCTGCTCAACACCAGCTGCATTTTGCTCCCTGCTAGTCCTGGCAGAGCCGTCCAGCAGGGAGAGGGCCTCATTTGGGGGAAAAACCGGGCCGGTTGCCTAAGCCAGGACGAAGAGCAGGAAGGGGCCCTGGCCCTGCCCGGTTGGCACCCAAGGAAAGAGCCTGGAAGAGCCACTGCCAGCCCCCCAGTGTGGATTCCAGCCCTTCCCCACTTCCTCTGCCAGGGAGCCTCTCCTCTGTCTGCCAACCCCAATTGGCACGGCATGCGCCCTGCTCTTACCTTTGGTTTTGCAGATCCTGGAGTAGTCACTGCAGCAGCTCTGATAGTAGACACACAGGTCATCACACTGGCACTTTTTCTGGCGGTCAAAGCCCTTGTCACAGCGGCCCTCGCAGGACTCTGGAGGTTAAAGGGGACAGGCAGCCAGGGGAGCTGGTCAGTCTGGCCTTTGGAAAGCTCGGGCCTTTTGGGGGAAAAGGGGAAGGGAAAGGAGTCCCTGCGGATTTTACTCCACTCGTCGTTGCCGATTCCAGGGCTGGTGCTCATCTCCGCTTCAAGGCCATCGCACCAGCGCTGTCCGGAGAAATGTCTGTGGTCACGTGACCCGCATGATGTCATGGAGCGCTCTTACTTTCCCACCAAAGTGGTACCTGTTTATCTGCTCACATCTGCATGCTTTCAGACTGCCAGGTAGGCAGGAGCTGAGGCGAGGACGGGAGCTCACCCGTTGCGTGGTGCTCAGGTCTCAAACCTAAGCTGCTGGCTTTGTATCCAACAATCCCAGTGCCTTAACTGCTGAGCCAGCGCACCACGCCCATTTTGTGGGAAGGGTCTCCAAATCATGGAAGCCCCCTGAGCCTGCCTCCTGTCCTTTGGGGACAGACACATCTGCCAGAAAGCCACCAGCAGGGCAGAACGTTGGGCTTCCACTGACGCTCCCTTGTTGCTAACCTGGTGACACCAGGCTCTGTCTGGCAGTGGGGCTGCCCCTGAGGGCCCCGGACTGGGAGACCTCCAGTTGGGAGTTGGGGGGCCACCGAGTGAACAGCCTGCTGGACAGGAAGGGATAGCGGTCTATCTCAGTGGGACCCAGCTGCAGTGGGAGGGGTCCCTCCTGGACATGGACATCACCAGCCTGATGGGGAGGCGTATTCCCCCTCTCTCATCTGTTTCCCTCCCTAACCTTGACCCCTGGGGTCCAACGAGGCTGTCTCTGAGCACAGAATGCTGTTTGGACACTGTGGGGCAGAGGATGTCCACCAGGGACTCATCAGGTCCTTAAAATTTCCTGACAGAACAATCAACCAGTGGAACTGCTTGCCTCCAGAAGTTGTGGGTGCTCCAGCGTTGGAGGCTTTTAAGAAGAGACTGGTCAGCCATTGGCCTGGAATGGTGTAAAGTAAGGGTGTCCAACCTAGAGGACTTTAAAAGTTGTGGACTTCAACTCCCGGAATCCCCCAACCAGCCATGCCAGTCCACAAGCCTTAAAGTTCCAAGGGTGGACACTCCTGCTATTGGATCTTCTGCTCAAGCAGAGGGGGTTGGACTAGAAGACCTCCAAGGCCCCTTCCAATTCTCTTATTCCGTTCTCTCTATGATCACATGTATCCCTCCCGTCAAGCCCAAAGAAAGCCTGCTACAGGATCTTCTGCTCAAGCAGGGGGTTGGACTAGAAGACCTCCAAGGCCCCTTCCGACTCTCTGGTTCTATGATCCAAAATGTTGGGCAGTTTTTCTTCCCCAGAAGGGGCTTCTCCTTCTTGCCCTCCTGAATTCCACGGAGAGTCTCGGGGGGGGGGGCAGATGGGGTGGGAGTGGACGGAGAAGGGGGTGTCCCAGAACTCACCTTCCACTGCAAATGACCCCCAGAGGCAGCCCAGCAGCAGCAGCGCCAGACCCAGGAGCTCCATGGCGTCCAGTAGCCGGGCCTTCGGCTTCTGGCTGGGCCGCCCAGCCTCCCCCCCACTAAAGCCTTGTTTGCTCAGCTCGGCCCCTCCTCTTTTGGAGGGAGCAAACACAGTTGGTGAGGTCATTAGCAGAGGGTCTTTGGCTCCCCTCCCCTCCCCCTGGCATCTCTGCCCTCCCTTTGACGGCTCTGAAAGGATCCTGAGCCGGCCAGGAATGGGGGCAGGGGGGGCTGCAGTCCCAGTTTTCTGCAGGCATCAGAACTTGGGGGGAGAGTGTGGTCTGCCATAGCACCCCCTCCCCCAAAGCCTGGGAAACGGGGCCTCCGTTCTTGGCACAGAGAGCCCAAAGGCAGCATTATCGCTGGGCAACACGCCTGGCAGGGAGCAGCCCAGCGCACACACACCCCGCTTTTCTCTCAGGGATGTGGGGGGAAGAGAGCCCTGCTTGCCCAATGGCAGTGCAGGAAGCCCAAGACCAGGAACAGTGGGTGGCGTGGACAGGACCCTGGGAGAATAACAGAATAGCAGAGCTGGGGGGAGCCTCAGAGGTCTTCTAGTCTAACCCCCTGCCCAAACAGGAGATCCTATATCATTTCAGACTAATAGCTGCCCAGTCTCTTCTTAAAAACTTTGAGAGATAGATAGATAGATAGATAGATAGATAGATAGATAGATAGATAGATAGATAGATAGATGATAGATAGATAGATGATAGATAGATAGATAGATAGATAGATAGATGATAGATAGATAACCTTTATTGTCATTTTTTTACTGTGGGCACAACAGTACACATTAAAAATGAAATTGAGTTGCTTGCTCTCAAAGTGTACACGTACATAACACGCATTTAAATATACTATATACAACAATGTATAGACCTACACCCTTACATATGAGTAACATATAAATATTAATCACTTGCCCATCTTGAATACATAACCGGAAGGAGGAAGCTTGAGAGTAATAATAATAATAATAATAATAATAATAATAATAATAATAATAATAATAATAATAATAATAAAGTTGGAAGGGACCTTGGAGGTCATCTAGTCAAACCCCCTGCTCAGGCAGAAAACCCTACACCATTTCGGACAAATGGCTGTCCAGTCTCTTCTTAAAAACTTCCAGTGTTGGAGCATTCACCACTTCTGGAGGCAGGTTGTTCCACTGGTTAATTGTTCTGTCAGGAAGTTTCTCCTAAGTTCCAGGTTGCTTCTCTCCTTGATGAGTTTCCATCCGTTGCTTCTTCTCCTGCCTCCAGGCGCTTTGGAGAACAGCTTGACTCCCTCTTCTTTGGGGCAGCCCCTGAGATACTGGAAGATGGCTATCCTGTCCCCCCTCGTCCTTCTCTCCGTTAATACTGTATGGAACAAAACTGTGACTGAATCCGGATGTTCTGCTTTGGATACCACAACCCCCCCCCCCCCGCAGAAGGTAATAAGGAAAACGGGTTGTGAAGAGGGTGTGTAGTGTCCCAGACAATCCTGGGGGGCCCCGCTCAAGCATCGCTTATATGCTATGACGCACCCACAATGTCTGAAGGCCAAGCTGTTCCACTGGTTTAGTTTCCATCCGTTGTTTCTTGTCCTGCCTTCAGGGGGCTTTGGAGGATAGGCTGACCCCCCCCCCTCTTCTTTGTGGCAGCCCCTCAAATATTGGAAGGCTGCTATCATGTCCCCCCTAGTCCTTCTTTTCATAAAACTTGATTTACCTGCAACCGTTCTTCAGGTGTTTTAGCCTCCAGTTCTCTTCTTATTTTTCATAATGTCAATGTTTATATATATTAAGAAGGGAGTGAAAGGCCCAACGGGGGGGGGCTGCCCTGAAGATCAAGGACAACCCCCCCCTTAAAAGAGGCATACAGACAAAGGGAAGCTGGGTGCTCTCTGGCTGGGGGGGAGAGGGGGGAGCCCATGTCAGCTGGGCTCTCAGCAGCAGCTCCCACCCAAAAGAGAGGGTCACGGGTGAGGGGGGGGGGCTTCCCTGGTGGTAGCAGTGAAAGGCTGTGCAGTGTGATTCACTTTCAGTGCAAATTATCCCCCTCCCCCCATCTGCAAACGGTGCCCCATGGAATTTGCTCCCTGGATCTCTCCTGGATCAGGCCAGCCCCGTTATTCATTAATAGGAAGTGGTTGTCCTGTCCAGCTCCTGCTTTGAAGGTGTGCCCCCCCTCCCCACCAGCCCCCAGCCCCCCCCAGACTCTTACTCATCCCTGGGGACGGTGAGTGAACCTGCCCGGTGCCTGTTGTGGAAAAGAAGGCCAGAGTCGCCATCATGGTCTGTTTTGAAAATGGACCTCATATTTTAAACAAGGTCTCTTCCAAGACCCGCTCCAGAGAATTTTCTCTTAAAGAGGACGTTGGATATCAGATGAGCAGTAAATAAGTTTCATAAGTAAAGAAATAAAGAGGGGTGTTTAGTCCTCTGAAGTCCCCCCTGCTAATCATTTAAAACAACATTAATTCAGGAGGGTTGAATTTAGGCAATAAGGTGGGGTTGTTATTGTCTGCATAACTTCGGAATCAGAATACAGCTGGAAGGGACCTTGGAGGTCTTCTAGACCAGCCCCCTGCTGAAGCAGGAGACCTTATACCATGTCAGACAGGTGGCTGTCCAGCCTCTTCTTAAAAGACTCCAGTGATGGAGCGCCCACAACTTCTGGTGGCCAGCTGTTCCACGGGTTAATTGATAGGAAGCTTCTCCTTAGTTCCAGGTTGCTTCTCTCCTTGATTAGTTTCCATCCGTTGCTTCTTGTCCTGCCCACATGTCTGAAACTAGTGCAGAGGCCCAATTCATATGTTCATTTTTATGCATTCATTTTCTAGCCTATATTTTATTAGATTCAGTGTTGCATTATAATCTCAAAAGCGCAATTTCAGAGCAGCATCAGAGTCGGGATCAGAAAAGTCTTTGCGCTGACTTTAAAGAGAAGGAAAAATTGGGAGGTCCTCAGAACAAAAAGGGTTTGGGGTCCTCCGGGGTCGGTCCCTGAAAATTTCCCCCTTTGAAATCTGCCTTTTACCTAACAGGTTTTCCATCAGCTCAATGTACAGATAAGTCCTCAACTTACGACAGTTCATTTAGAGACCGTTCAAAGTTGCAACGGCACAGAAAAAAGTGACTTACGACCGCTTTCCACACTTACAGCCGTTGCAGCATCCCCGTGGTCACGTGATCAAAATTCAGCCGCTTGGCCGCTGACTCAGAGTCATGACGGTCGCAGAGTCCCGGGGGGTGTGTGTGGAATCATGTGATCCTCTTTTGGGACCTTCTGACAAGCAAAGTCAATGGGGAAAGCCGGATTCACTTCAAATCATGTTACTAACAACTGCGGTGTTTCACTTAACCACTATGGCAAAAAGGTTGTAAATTGGGCAAAATTCACTTTACCGCTGTCCGGCTTAGCAATTTTGGGCTCAGTCGTAAGCGGAGGACTGCGTGTATTGCAATTCTGGCTTCCCTCCATTCGGGTCAGACTCTGTCTCACTTCTTCTACCTAATTAACCTTCCGAGCTTTCCTGCGCACGGGATCCCCTTTTGCCAGAGCCCTGCGGAGGTCGGGCCTTCACTCCCCAAATGAACTGATGAGGGGCTCGGTCCCAAAATGAGGCAACCGGCCTGGCAGGATTAATTCTGGATCAATCTGTTGAAATCAGGGTATTTCTTCAAGAGGCTGATCTCTCACTGTTGAATTTTGCCCAGTCCCTAGAGCAAGGATAGGCGACCTTGGCTCTTTTATGACTGGTGGACTTCAACTCCCAGAACTCCTGAGCCAGCCATGCTGAGGGGAAAGGGAGAGGTTTCCAAGCTGAGCCAGGCTGGCTCAGGAATTCTGGGAGTTGAAGTCCACCAGTCATGAGGGGGCCATAGTTCCCCCATGCTGGCTGAGGAATTCTGGGAGTTGAAGTCCACCAGTCATGAAGGGGCCATAGTTCCCCCATGCTGGCTCAGGAATTCTGGGAGTTGAAGTCCACCAGTCACGAAGGGGCCACAGCTCCCCCATGCTGGCTGAGGAATTCTGGGAGTTGAAGTCCACCAGTCACGAAGGGGCCATAGTTCCCCCATGCTGGCTCAGGNGGCCATTAAACATTTGGAGAATGTTTCTCCCTTTCCCCTCAGCATGGCTGGCTCAGGAATTCTGGGAGTTGAAGTCCACAAGTCATGAAGGGGCCATAGTTCCCCCATGCTGGCTCAGGAATTCTGGGAGTTGAAGTCCACGAGTCATGAGGGGGCCATAGTTCCCCCATGCTGGCTCAGGAATTCTGGGAGTTGAAGTCCACGAGTCATGAGGGGGCCATAGTTCCCCCATGCTGGCTCAGGAATTCTGGGAGTTGAAGTCCACCAGTCATAAAAGAGCCAAGGTGGCCAACCCCTGCCCTAGAGCAAGGGTGGGCAACGATGGCGACTTTACAACCGGTGGACTTCAACTCCCAGAATTCCTGAGCCAGCAAATGTCTATTAATAGGATAACAGCGTTGGAAGGGACCTTGGAGGTCTTCTAGTCCAACCCCCTGCTCAGGCAGGAAACCCTATACCAATGTTTCTCAACCTTAGCCACTTTAAGAGCGGTGGACTTCAATTCCCAGCAAGGCTGGCTCAGGAATTCTGGGAGTTGAAGTCCCCCGGTTGTGAAGTCGCCATCGTTGCTCATCCCTGCGCTAGAGGACATTTTGGCACCGTGTCAGGCTTGGCTGTGGGTTCCCAGCAGTAGCTGCCTTCTTGTTATGAAGACGACGTCTCTCTGTGTCTGTTTTCTTTCCATCTCAGTTTGCATCCAGACAATCGGGCCCTTTCACGGCCTGGGGGGCGGCGGAGGTCTTCTTTGAATCAGTTTAATATATAACTAGGGAGGGGGGGAAGAGGGAAATTTGGAGCAGGAGAGAAATCTGGGTCAACAAATAATATTCCTGCCTAGGTTGAGCTGGGAGTAATTGGACCAGCCATTTGTCCGAAATGGTATAGGGTTTTCTGCTGAGCAGGGGGTTGGACTAGAAGAC